ACGCGTGGCCTCCACCGCGCGTGCGCCCTGTGTGTCTGCTGGCCGGGAACACGGGGCCTCCACCGCGCGCATGCAACCTGTGTGTCTGCCGGCCGGGAACACGGGGCCTCCACCGCGTGTGCGACCTGTGTGTCTGCCAGCCAGGTCACATCTGCCACGGCATGTGATCTGTGTGCCTGGCACAGGACTGACCACATAATAGGTGTTCCCAAAATGTTAGTTAAATCTTTGTTTTTTTTTGAGAGGTTTTTGCTATAGGGCGTGTGCACTCGCCAGACAGACAGAGAGATACAGAGAGACAGAAAGTGAGAAATCACCCCCCCGGGGGGATGGCCACACCACAATCCCTTCTCCTCCCAGAATCTTGGGCATACACGCACACACACCTGGCGTGAGTTTAAGCCACTGGGTCCGGGACTCGAACCGCGGTCAACTCCGTGGGAGTCCAGCGACATAGCCATTACACTAACTGCTGGTCCCACAAAATGTTAGTTAAATCTGAACCCTATTTCAGTAAGAAGTGTACCATTCATCAGGGCTGACTGCGGTGACGATGAAGGCAGTCGGGTGACCCCAAGGACAGCCTGGGGAGGGCAGAGCTGCGTGCAGCAGCCCTGATAGGCTTCATCCTCCCAGAGGGCCTGGGAGCCAGAAGGATGGTCTGTTTGCAGGCTCGGTGAAGAGCCAGCTGCCCTCGCCTCCTTTGCGGAGCTCTAATGACCTGCCTGGAGCTGGACACGGGGGACTCTGCAAAGCCTGGTCCTCCGCCGTGACTCATGGCTCTGTCTCGCGGGGCATCCTTAATAACAACATGATACACCAGGCCCCTAAAGCACGTAGTAGGTCTTGAACAGCCTGGAACTCTGCAGGCCAGGGCTGTGACACAGGCCCTGTGGGGCTGAACGATCAGCCAAGCAGTCCTCCCTCTGCCCTGGAAGGGCAGCTTTCCCTCTTACCCAGGTTCCCAGCATCGCTTGTTCAGGGTGGACTGAGGCCAGACACTGCCGTTCTCGGCACCCCAGTCCGTGAGGGGTGGGTAAGCCGCCCTTCTCACACCAGTGACAGGGCATCTGGCTCAGGTCTAGACAGAGCAGCCCCACACTGGTGTGGTCTGTGCAGCTGGCGCCGTGCCCAACGCGGAAGTAGGAGGGGGGAAGGAGAGGCCCTACTCGGTCTAAGCAAGGGCCGAGCTGCCATTCCTGTTCACACACCAGCATTGCACATGGCCTGGCTTCACTCCTGGGCTCCCCGATCG